GACGTTTCGCGTAAACAGCAGGATTTTCAGTGGAATTTAGGCGAATATAAAACGAGCCAGTAGAAGTAGTAATTATGAGGTGATCAGTCCCTCAAGCTTAAAGTAGAAGCATGCAACAGGGCCTTATATACGAGCAGAAGTGAGGTGTAGCAGCTGAAGGTAACCTCACAAGTGAGCGGCGACGACTAAACAGTTGCTTAACAAAGGAGTTGTAGAATACCTTCCCTTACCCAGGATACCATGATGTTGCTGTGTTAGACAAGTATCATAGCAACAGTATACCATACCGACAACTTGTCAATATTGTATACCATCAGTATGACACTGGTATATGGTACAAGTCTTCTAAAAGTCCTTTTCCAAGCAACTGGCTTAACCTACTTCAACTAGTCGGCCTCGCTCACCTGTGAGGTTACCTTCAGCTGCTACACCTCACTTCTGCTCCTATATATGGTCTCGCTGCATGAGTCTGCTTTATGTTTGGGACTGACCTCCTCGTACCAAGACTGAGAGACTGACCATCTCCAACCAAAGATAAGGGACTGACCACCTCCTACCAGGGCTGAGGGACTGACCACCTCCTACCAGGGCTAAGGGACTAATAACCTCGAAATTACTTCTATTGCTTCTTGTTTTATATTCGACTCTATACAGTCGACTGAAGAAGCCTGCTGTGTAGTCTAAACGTTTCGTCAATAAACATACGCAAATATTGCATAAGTGTCTCAGGAACTCATCAGTGTAAGCTGCCCTTGAGCGGGTAATATAATATTTTTATATTTCACAAAGTCAGAATAGCACAAGTGGTTAACGCACTGGCCTCGGTGTTTCAAGACACTCGCCACAGGTTTAAACCCCACCCGTTCCCTGATTTATTTTTATGCTTTCTTTTGTATACAATTGATATACAATACCGTCAAAATGAAGAATTACACACATGTGTAACATCTGGGTATTTTTATTTATAGACGTTTCGCCAACTAATGGCTTTATCAGTATAATACAAGGACATAATGTGAAGAATTATATACAGAAGATAAAGTAATCAGTCCCTCAGCCTGGAGACGATGTAATCAGTCCATGAATTGATTACATCGAATCCAGGCTGAGGGACTGTTTACCTCAATCTCCTGATCTATTCTTCGTTGTAGTGGACTGATGAAGCCACTGTGTGGCGAAACGTTTCCTCAATAAAGACACCCAAGTTTTGCACATGTGTCTAATTAATCATTGTAAAGGTGGGTGATAATCTGGTGGTGGCGGGAGACACCCAGCATCTGCTCCAACATTGTTCACACATTCTACTGTGAGTTTCATCTCTATCTACCACACATCCGCTACACTTTATTCTGGACCTTCAAACTTTGTCTTCAACATATAGTTAATTTTTATGAAGTGGTTTTGATTTCTCTACTTTCTTGTTCGCCTGTCAACACCCCCCCCCAACACCCCCCCAACCCCCCCAACACCCCCCCCCCCACCATTTTCACTATTTTCTTTCGTTATTATAAACTCACTTTTCCAGTACTGTGGTATATTCTGAGATGTTTTTAGGTGTTCTGAGGTGTTCTGAGGTGTTCTGAAGTGTTCTGAGGTGTTCTGAGGTGTTCTGAGGTGTTCTGAGGTGTTTTGAGGTGCTCTGATGAACTCTTAGAAGCTCTAAGGTATTCTGTGGTGCTCTGGTGAACTCTTAGGAGCTCTTAGGTGTTCTGTACTGTTCTGATAAACTCTTAGGAGCTCTTAGGTATTCTGGGGTGCTCTGGTGAACTCTTAGCAGCTCTGAGGTGTTCTGTGGTGCTCTGATGAACTCTTAGCAACTCTGAGGTGTTCTGTGGTGCTCTGATGAACTCTTAGCAACTCTGAGGTGTTCTGTGGTGCTCTGGTGAACGCTTAGGAGCTCTGAGGTGTTCTGTGCTGTTCTGATGAACTCTTAGCAGCTCTGAGGTGTTCTGTGGTGCTCTGATGAACTCTTAGCAACTCTGAGGTGTTCTGTGGTGCTCTGATGAACTCTTAGCAACTCTGAGGTGTTCTGTGGTGCTCTGGTGAACGCTTAGGAGCTCTGAGGTGTTCTGTGCTGTTCTGATGAACTCTTAGCAGCTCTGAGGTGTTCTGTGGTGCTCTGGTGAACTCTTAGAAGCTCCGAGGTGTTCTATAGTGCTCTGGTGAACTCTTAGGAGCTCTGAGGTGTTCTATGGTGCTCTGGTGAACTCTTAGGAGCTCTGAGGTATTATGTGGCGCTCTGATGAACTCTTAGGAGCTCTGAGGTGTTCTGTAGTGCTCTGATGAACTCTTAGGAGCTCTGAGGTGTTCTGATGATCTCTTATGGGCTCTTAGGTATTCTGTGCTGCTCTGATGAACTCTTAGGAGCTCTGAGGTGTTCTGTTGTGCTCTTATTGTCTATAATGTTGATAATTCCTGGTCATCCGTTTGAGGAAGTGGTACGGATGTAGCTAGCTAATCTCACATAGTTACGATGGTAAATTCCACAGGGATGGAAAACCTGACCTGAAACATACATAAATCACCAAGGTGTGTTTATGAGGGTTAAGTCACAGCTCCTGGCCTCGTTTCTTAGCTACTATTAATCGGATTTACTGGTTTTTTGGGGATTCCTGGACCTTATCACAACTATTCATGAAACTGTGTAGAGTATTTGCTTCCAATGCCCTTTTTTTAAATCCACTTAATGACCACCCTGAGGCTTAAAATATATTTTCTGATAATCTTATTGTTCATCTTGGTGAGGGGCTCATGATCCAAGGAATTGGATCCACTTTCTTTCTTGGTTTCCATTCCCTAGTTGCTGTATGATTCCTGTGAGATTAGCACTTCTCTAAGTATAATAATACTACTACTATTACTACTACTACTACTACTACTACTACTACTACTACTACTACTACTACTACTACTACTATTATTACTACTACTATTACTACTACTACTACTACTACTACTACTACTACTACTACTATTACTACTACTACTACTACTGCTACTACTATTACTACTACTACTACTACTACTACTACTACTATTACTACTACTACTACTACTACTACTAATAATAATAATAATAATAATAACAATAATAATAAAAATAATAATAATAATAATAATAATAAATAATAATAATAATAATAATAATAATAATAATGGGTCATCTTCGCGTTCAGATGCTGTCTGTGTATCCTGGCTCCCTCTTCTTCCATGTCAAGCAGCCTGTACCTATCCTCTATATTTAGACCTTTGAGTATTTTCTATGTCTTGATCATATCCCCTGGTCTTCCTTTCTCCTTGTATTTTAAGGAGTTAGCAAAGTGTTCAGTTGTCCATCTTCAGGGACACTGTTACTGCGACCCGCTGGTTCTCTGGTCTTCTGGGACACTGTTACTGCGACCCGCTGGTTCTCTGGTCTTCAGGGACACTGTTACTGCGACCCGCTGGTTCTCTGGTCTTCAGGACATGTTACTGCGACCCGCTGGTTCTCTGGTCTTCAGGGACACTGTTACTGCGACCCGCTGGTTCTCTGGTCTTCAGGGACACTGTTACTGCGACCCGCTGGTTCTCTGGTTTGTGATCTATTTGATGCTACAGAAATAGAGGTGGAGACATTTTGTAGATTGAGCTTTTAGTGGAACAACGCTTCCCTGTGCAGAACTTAATCAAGGCTCAATACTAAGCTTCAGTACTGTCAGTAGTACGTTATAGAGAACCTACAGGAGCAGAGCCATGCTTGTGGTGCTCCTCTTGGAACCCATTCCAGTGTGCATTCACCTAATTGTAGTTGCAGGGGTTGAGTCATAGCTCCTTCCCCCCGCCTCTTCACTGGTCGCTACTAGATCCACTCTCTTCCTACTCCATGAGCTTTATCATGCCACTTCTTAAAGCAATGTATGGATCCTGCCTCCACTACATCACTTCCAAGACTATTCCACTTCCTGACAATTCTATGACTGAAGAAATACTTCCTAACATCCCTGTGACTCATCTGAGTCAGATGAGTATGTGTGTGTGTGTATGTGTGTTTATGTGTGGTGTTTGTCTGTGCTTGCTTGAGCAGTTAATGACAGTGTAAACACAAACGAATGGCAGCAAGTAATTTAGTTTGTTATTTAAGACTATGGATTTTGGTTGGGTTATTGTACCAAGATGAGGACGTAATGGCGATTAACTTTCCCAGGTCTTCATATTCTCATTCCTATTTCCTAAAATTCCTTGTGTAAGATAAGTGAACTGTTGATATAAATCCAGATGTACTCCTGCAAATCCTTTTGGGGTCTAGTACCTAGGCCTTTTGCGTATCCATACTCTCCACAGGATTTATATGGGGTGCACAATAAACTAACCACTTCGGTGGCAAATTCTAATTCAATCATTCGTATATCAGAGAGCAACATTTGCTACTAGCTTGTCTGGTCTCATAGAGAATCCAGTAAAACTTCCAGGAATTTTCCAGTTGGTTTCTGTCGAGTGTAGCTCGTAGTAATTTGAAGCTGGCGTGCTGAAGCAAGCCTTAGTGTTTCTTAAAGCATTCCAGCAACAGAAGCTACACTCAGTTTTTCACGGATGAAGTCGTCTTGTTTGACCTTCGTTCAAACACAAAAGTTCCTACAACGAAGATCAGTAGTAAAAGCTTTGTGACTCCCCGCTCACTCCACTGTTAATAAAAAAAATCCAGTGACACTAAACATTTCCCAAAATAGGGTGCGAATACGGTGGAAAATAACCGCACTGGAGACTTAAAATAATGATTTCGCCCACGAACTGCCGAAGACTCGTGGCTGGACTTTGAAAGGAAGGAAGGAAGGATAGTGTTGGGGAGGAGGGAAAGTACTGGTACACTGCTGCTCCCGGCGCTATGGTGGTCAACACTGGGTCAACATCCTCAATATCGTTTTTTTTTTTCAAATATATGTCAAGAGACACTAAATATATTATCACTATTGATCACTAAGGTGAGTATATGATCACACTATCGACTAGAAGGGCTGCCTTGCCTGCTGTGTCGGGGAAGGAGAGGCTTGAGAGTAGTCACACCACCTCGGTAGCTGGGGACGGTCTACCAGGACCCACCAGTGGCTGCAGGCTTAATACTCCTGATGCCAGTGACTCACCTCCCCAACAATCCCCCGGGGGTATGTAAGTACGTGTGTGCGTATCTCCGGGTGGGAGTGTGTGGACGCGGGGGCACGCGCGCGCGCGTGTGTGTGTGTGTGCGCGCAGGTGACACTAGACTTGGGGCAGGTTGCCGGGCATGATACCCGTAATGGCTGTGATGGTCGTGCTGGTGGTTGGCTGCTGGCTGGCCCGCTCCTGTGGCAGGTAATGTGAGGGCTGCCGCTCTTCTTTCTGCAGACTCCAGCTAAAACAACACCAGCAAGGACTTCTGTCATTCCCATGAACACCAAGAATGTTCAGCCAGGATAACTTGTACACCTCGGTGAATATCGTGTGTTTCCGGAGATAGAGTTAAGGAATAATGCGTAGGTCGAGTAGGGAGTTGGATCCACTCACGTAAGGGATGGAGGACGAGGGATACACTCTTATAAAGAATGGAGGGTGAGGGATACACTCTTATAAAGAATGAACGGCGAGGGATGTACTCATGTAAGTGACGGAAGGGTAAGGAATTCAATCATATAAGTGACGGGGCTGATACATGCACTCATGTAAGGGATGGGGGATGATGCATGTACTCAAGGAAAGGAACAAGGAATGATAGATTCATTCCAGTAACGGACGGCTGATGACAGATGCATCAGAGCCATTCCTATAAGGGACAAGTTAGGTATGAGATACATTCATACATAACTTCACAGAGACAACAAACCAGCGGACTCTTGAGCTTTCTGCTCAAGTAAATGACAACAGTAGGTTGATCAGTCCTGTACACCATGTTAATTTAGTACCTGTTGAAGTTTCAGGTTTCTGTAATCTGTATACTAACCTCGTGATGCTGCTTAAGTGCTCAAACCCAAACGACTGTCACTGTAAACTGTCATTTGTAACCCTCGCACTCGTCAAAATTCACCTTATACCTATCCACCCGAAGTTGGGTGGGGTTTCTGATGTGTGCTTAGGGACAGACGGTCACTTCATCTGGTAGACAGGTCCGACTTTTCCCACAAGTGTTCTTGCCTGATTAATAACCCAGAATCTCTTTCGGTACAATTGGTGGGGATATTTTCCCTTTCGGCTGAATTGCGCACATTCCTGGCCGATGACGATTTATGGACAAGGATTTCGGAACATGAAAAACATACTTTGAATATACTTTTATATGGATTTATGCAATGTAAAAGCAATTCAATATTGATAACAGTGATAGTTTTGATTTGTTATATAACGTTTGAAGCGTTATAACGTTTTAACGCTTAGTAAACGCAATAAAACAAAAACCTTAAACTTGAAACTTTACAAGTTGCATCTAATGCCTTGTATCTAGAGCGTTTATCTTTGGATGTTTGACTGCTAATGCTGTGAGCCACCTGCCCGCCTACACCACTAGTGAGCCACCTGCCCGCCTACACCACTAGTGAGCCACCTGCCCGCCTACACCACTAGTGAGCCACCTGCCCGCCTACACCACTAGTGAGCCACCTGCCCGCCTACACCACTAGTGAGCCACCTGCCCGCCTACACCACTAGTGAGCCACCTGCCCGCCTACACCACTAGTGAGCCACCTGCCCGCCTACACCACTAGTGAGCCACCTGCCCGCCTGCACCACTAGTGAGCCACCTGCCCGCCTGCACCACTAGTGAGCCACCTGCCCGCCTACACCACTAGTGAGCCACCTGCCCGCCTACACCACTAGTGAGCCACCTGCCCGCCTACACCACTAGTGAGCCACCTGCCCGCCTACACCACTAGTGAGCCACCTGCCCGCCTACACCACTAGTGAGCCACCTGCCCGCCTACACCACTAGTGAGCCACCTGCCCGCCTACACCACTAGTGAGCCACCTGCCCGCCTACACCACTAGTGAGCCACCTGCCCGCCTACACCACTAGTGAGCCACATGCCCGCCTGCACCACTAGTGAGCCACCTGCCCGCCTACACCACTAGTGAGCCACCTGCCCGCCTGCACCACTAGTGAGCCACCTGCCCGCCTACACCACTAGTGAGCCACCTGCCCGCCTACACCACTAGTGAGCCACCTGCCCGCCTACACCACTAGTGAGCCACCTGCCCGCCTACACCACTAGTGAGCCACCTGCCCGCCTACACCACTAGTGAGCCACCTGCCCGCCTGCACCACTAGTGAGCCACCTGCCCGCCTACACCACTAGTGAGCCACCTGCCCGCCTACACCACTAGTGAGCCACCTGCCCGCCTACACCACTAGTGAGCCACCTGCCCGCCTACACCACTAGTGAGCCACCTGCCCGCCTACACCACTAGTGAACCACCTGCCCGCCTGCACCACTAGTGAGCCACCTGCCCGCCTACACCACTAGTGAGCCACCTGCCCGCCTACACCACTAGTGAGCCACCTGCCCGCCTACACCACTAGTGAGCCACCTGCCCGCCTACACCACTAGTGAGCCACCTGCCCGCCTACACCACTAGTGAGCCACCTGCCCGCCTACACCACTAGTGAGCCACCTGCCCGCCTACACCACTAGTGAGCCACCTGCCCGCCTACACCACTAGTGAGCCACCTGCCCGTCTACACCACTAGTGAGCCACCTGCCCGCCTACACCACTAGTGAGCCACCTGCCCGCCTACACCACTAGTGAGCCACTTGCCCGCCTACACCACTAGTGAGCCACCTGCCCGCCTACACCACTAGTGAGCCACCTGTCCGCCTACACCACTAGTGAGCCACCTGCCCGCCTACACCACTAGTGAGCCACCTGCCCGCCTACACCACTAGTGAGCCACCTGCCCGCCTACACCACTAGTGAGCCACCTGCCCGCCTACACCACTAGTGAGCCACCTGCCCGCCTGCACCACTAGTGAGCCACCTGCCCGCCTACACTACCAGTGAGCCACCTGCCCGCCTGCACTACCAGTGAGCCACCTGCCCGCCTGCACTACCAGTGAGCCACCTGCCCGCCTGCACTACCAGTGAGCCACCTGCCCGCCTGCACTACCAGTGAGCCACCTGCCCGCCTGCACTACCAGTGAGCCACCTGCCCGCCTGCACCACCAGTGAGCCACCTGCCTGTCTGCATAACCAGTGAGCCACCTGCCCACCTGCATTACCAGTGAGCCACCTGCCCGCCTACACCACTAGTGAGCCACCTGCCTGCCCACACCACCAGTTAGCCACCTGCCCCCCAGCACCACTAGTAAACCACCTGCCTCCCCTGGACCACCAGTGAGCCACCTGCGAACTAACAGCTAGTCTTCCACTGCCTGCATGACACCTGCGCCACCTTCAAGCCAGCTACTAGACGTGTAACCACCTGTGCAAGCGGTTGATTCCATCTCACCTCACCATTACCCACTCTCTTAATATTTCTTATCGGCACTATCCATGATGAGCGAAACACTGCCTGTAGAGGAGGCCTTATTACTGCAATGTTTCGCCACAAATTGTCTTTATCAGTTGCGCTGAACGTTGTACGAGAGAGAAAGAGAGAGAGAGAGAGAGAGAGAGAGAGAGAGAGAGAGAGAGAGAGAGAGAGAGAGAGAGAGAGAGAGAGAGAGAGAGAGAGAGAGAGAGAGAGAGAGAGAGAGAGAGAGAAACTGAACGTCCCTCCAAGTACATTTACAGACATTACTGGCGTTTCTCCAGGCAAAGGATTAGGACATTCTGCTACTAATTGACCTTCACGTTTAATTCATTTCCAAGGTTGAATATCTCATCATTTATCTCTTATCTTTGTGCCTAAATTACAAAAAGATAATTGTCTCTGTTTTCAAAGAATTCACTCATTTAGAGGTGTAGTTCTACGTGTTAATAATGTTATAATGTTTAATGTGTACAATTACAGCAGGCAAACAATAGTATAGTGTTAATATAAGTGCAGGAGGGTCCCGCATATACAGCACCCTCAAGAGGGCCCCGCATATGCAGCACCCCCAGGAGGGCCCCGCATATACAGCGCCTATTTTCGGCGTTCCACGTTTAATTTACCTTTCAATTGAGCCGTTGTTCCACCCCCGTTGACAGCCACCTCCGAGTGGAACATAATGAGCAATGGCTCAGTTGGAAGCCAACGAAAACATGGAACAACGAAAAGAAGGAGCTGTATATGTGGTTCCCTCCTGTAGTTAACGCCTGTAAACACCCGTTTATTTGCTATGTGTGAGGCTATGACAGTGTCATCCTGCTTGTCCCTGTTGACGCCATTACGCCTGCTTTGTTTGGGTGCTTCGTGAAGCCGGCCGGCTGTCGAGCCAGATAGGGGAGGCTGTGTCAAGCCCACGGTCGTTATGTCTCCGTCACACCGTGACAGGGATGCATGCCAGCAGCCCACCTCAACACTGCAATAACAACTAAATATACACACACACTCATCACAGCAGGGAAATAAGAATACTGTCTCATGCCAGCAGGAGAATAATAAGAATATTATCCCACGTCAGAAGGGATATACATCAAGAATATTTCTTGACGTCAGCAGGGAAATAACGTGAGTATTGCATAACGTCAGAGAGGTGTATTTTTTTCATTTCTTGAGAATAACACACAAAATATATGCACACACACACATGCATACATACATATATAAAATTACACACACACACACACACACACACACACACACACACACACACACACACACAACACAACACGACAACACAAACACACATTCCGACAACATCTAGGAGAGGGTAAGGAAACGATAGGTGGGGACATGAAACGACAGTGACAAAATATGGGGGAATTGAACAGGTGGACAAAGACGAGGAAGTTACAAGGATGGCACAGCTACAAGGGGACACAGTGGAAGCAAAGCACAATGAATTCAAGGTGTTAGGAAGTATTCTTACAAGGTGTCAGTAAGTGGAAAGTTTGGAAGCGAATGTATTGGAGGCAGAGTCATGAGCTAGTTAAGCAGAGGTTTAAGTAAAGTATCAACGCTCGGGGAAG